AAGGAAAGAAAGAAAGAAGAAAGAGACAATGTAAAGATCACTGGTCCCTGTAAGGAATATGTCCTGGATGAGTGGGCACGGTGGCGCATGCCTGTAATCCCAGCAGCTCAGGAGGCTGAAGCAGGAAGATTATTGAGTTCAAGATCAGACTCAACTACTTATCGAGGCCTGAGGCAACTTAGTGAGACCCTGTCTCTAAATAAAATATTAAAAAGGGCTGGAGATGTGGCTGAGAGGTTAAGTGCCCTGAGTTCAATCCCTGGTTACCAAAAAAAAAAAAAAAAAAAAAAAGGGGACTCCTGGCCTCTCCCCTTAGTTACCACACTCTCCCTCCCTTGTCCCCCTCCAGCCAGGGTCCTTCCACTTCTGTTTCCACTTCCCCCTCCAGTGCCCTATCCTTGGGTCTCACCCTGGTGGCCCGGTCTTTGTCTTTCCCAGACAGTGGCTCTTTCTCCCAGTGCTTCTCCCTGCTCTGCCAGCCCCAGCCAGGCCCTCAGGCCCCTTGGCCCCTACCTGATGCCCCAGCCTCAGCCTCTGCCGCCAACCCAGGACCCTGGGTGGGTGGTCTTCTTCGTGCTGTGCAGAATGTGAAAGCCACAGCCCAGGTGTGGGTCTGAGAGCTCTGACTCCTGGTGTCTTATATGCTGAGGCTTGAGGCGGGGAGGAGTCCAGGTGCACTTGCAGCCTGGATGTGGATTCTCTAGGTTTGCCTCCCATGGGAGCCCACTAAAGGGAACCGCACAGGGTAGATGTGGATTAGCCTTTATTGTAGAGACCAAGTTCCCAGAGGAAGGGTGGACTGTAATGGGGGTCAGAGTGGTGAAACGGTAGGAATGTCGACTCCCACAGGATTGCAGCAAGGGGAATGGTAGGGAGTGTTGGGTGGTGTGGCACTGGGGGCAGGGAGAGGGACTGAGGGAGGAAAGGGCTCCAGGGGCAGGGTGGGGGCAGGGAGAGGGACATGAAGGCACTGAAGGAGCCAGAGGCTGGTGGCTGAGGCCCAGGAGGAGGCAGGCTGGGACACAGAGAGTTTCTGGACTTCCTGGAGGAGCCCCKCGCAGGTCAGCCCTCCTTACTTTCGAGCGCCCAGAGCCAGGGCAATGATGAAACCCACTACCAGCAGGAACATGGCCACAGACAGCAGCACTGTGATGACCACCATGCCCCCTGTTCGGGCCATTCCCAGACCAATGGACTCCATATTCCTTCCTGTCAGAAGAGAAAAAGGGATGCCTTTGAGGGCAGGAGGGGCCCAAGGCTCCCCAGGTGCACAGCTTAGCTCTCATCTGGCCACCCAACCCAAGTCCATTCTTTCAGTTATTCATCCATCCGACCAGCCAGGCAGTGGACCCAAGCACCCGTCAAACCAAAGTTACAGAACATCTCCTAGGGGAGTCCCCGAGGATACAGAGGTGAGGAYACCGACCCTACCCATGAGGAGCCTTTAGTTTAATAGTAGGACAGATGAGTCAACAGGAAGTTGCCACGGGCCTCTGTGGTAGGATGCAAAGGTGCTGTGGGGGCGCAGGGGGCAGCTAATCCACACTGGGGGATGGAGTGAGAGTGTCCCGGGAAGGTCTGTGGACCCAGAGACGGAGGCAGAGCGCTACTTACGAGGAAGCGTGGACATTGGGATCTCTCTGCTGGACTCGGTAGATGTCCCCTTCTCTACTCGGTAGGAAATACTTTTGGGGTGGGGTTGGAGAGAGAGGAGAAAACGTTCAGTGAGTATCTGGGACTTAGGGAAAGAAGGACTCCAGTCTGCTCCCCAACCTAGCTTCATGGCTGTGCCTTCCCCCAGGAGAGGACACTTTGCACACCCTTTGGCCGTCCCCCCACCCTGCCCCGTGCTGACCAGAACCCTCCCAGCTTCTCTTCCGGCATCCCCATCCCTCAGTTGCTCCAGGCATGGGTCAGGTACCTACTAGTATTTGGTTCCTGGGAGGAGGTTTGTCACCTGGTATGCACGGAGCCGTGTGACTGTGAAGCCATTCCCACTGTCCACCACGCTCACCAGCTCCCTGCGCCCTCGGCATGGAGGCACTATAAAACTGGACTTCTCCACTGGGCAGGAAATTGGGAGTGAAAGTCAGGGTCAAGTTTTTGGAGGCTCCAGGGAGAAAGGGGCAGCTTTGAGTTTGAATGCCCCAAGAGAGGGTTTGACAAGGAGGCATGAATAGGGGAAGGGATGCCGGTGGGGCCCTGGGAAGAGGTCCCTGGGAACCAGGGGGATGCCTGGGGAACAGGAGGCAGACCTTTGCTGTCATTGGCTCTTCGGACAGTCAGTGTGGCGTTGCCTCCTGTGAGGTGACAGGGGGGCAAAGCAACTAGCAGGCTCTCCGTTAGCGCTGGGGACAGCAGACCAGAGAGGCTTGAGATGTTGAACTCTGCTGGGAGGCCAGAAGGGAGTTCAGATGGGGATCAGTCCCTGTCCAGCCGTCAGATCTGGTGCATCCCCCTGGGGCCACTGCTAAGGAAGCGAAATCCATCTCCCCTTTCTGTAGCCAGAGAGTAGAACAGCCAAGCCTGTGCGAGCCTGACCACCAGGTGGCAGGCTTGGGCCACAGAAGCTGCATACTCCTCCAAGCTGCCCTGGAGCCAGACTTGGATACCAGGAGGCAGGCAGCGCCCAACCTTATCCCCAGGGGCAGCCCTGGACCCTTTCCCACACTTCTCTGCCTCCTGGGTCTGGAAGAGGCCCAGGAATGTGCCCTGGATCCTAGTCTAATGCCTGGTCACTGATATCACCAACCCCCACCCCTAGCCAGCCAGACCAGCTTCCCTTTGAGAACCTGGAAGGCCCAGGGCCCCCTGTTTAGACCTCTGAACCTTTCCCCAGAGATTGCAGAGACCTGCAGCCCCCGGGGCCAGTATAGCCAGCAGAATCAGGATCAAGGGCAAGGTCTGGACAGGCCGCAGGGATGCCATGCTGGACTGAAACCTGGATCCTGGAACAGGTGCTGGCAGGCTGGGGCTTCCTGAGGCATGTGAGGCCCTGCCCTGGGGTGGCTGATTTTGTCCTGGGGTGGGAGGGGCTGAAGGGGAATCCAGTCCAACCTGCCCCTTGGGCCCTATGGCCTAGGGGGAGTTTGGGACAGGTTTTTCAGGACAGAGAGCTGGCCTTCAGGACAGAAGTGTGTGGGGGTGCCCTGTCTGAGTCCTGGTGATTAGTCAGCTGCAGAGGAGCAAGGTAAACCACCCCCTCTTCTGGGCCTCCCATATGTAAAGCAGTGTTCCTGTGGGCACCTGTGTGGGTCTAGAGCCTGGCCTGGGGTGGGGGGCTGCTCTCCCTTGATGGCAGGGGTCTTCCCAGGAAGGGCATGAATTCCGAAGTTGCCCTGGTATGTAGGAAGAGGAGAGTAACCTTGAGGAGCTTCTAAAAGGAGAGAAAGAGACTGATCACAGGGAGAGGGGTAGCCGAGCAGGGGGCTTAATTCTTGGTATTCACCGAGGCCCAGCTATTGCTGGGAGAGGCAAAACAATAAAATGGAAAGAGACCTGGTAAGAGAAAAWGAAAAAAAAAAAAAAGGTACATTACCCTTTCTATAAATTTCAGAGTTCAAAAAAAGAAAAGAAAGAAAATGAAAAAACAAAACAAAACAATGACACAACTTATGACCACTCCCTGCCCTGGGCCAGTGAGAGAGAGGTGAAGGAGGAACTATCAGCAGAAGGGGAAGGGGGGCCATGAGGRAGACAAGGATGCCCCTACTCTGGGCATGGGCCAGGGGCTCCTTGTGTTCCCACATACATAAGCTACAGCGATCCGAGTAATGGATGTTACTGGTTCCCGTTTGTAAATGTGGAAACTGAAATTCAGGTAGTCACTTGTGGAAAGTAGAACACTGTCAGGAGAGGTTGTCGAATTCTATAAAGGCCTATGCTCTACAGAGATAATTGCTGTAGGTCTCTTTGCTCCATGACCCTGTTATCTTCCCCGTCCCAGAGAAGGCCAGCATCCTTGTATGAGAGGCTGGTGGAGCTGCGTTCCTACCCCATTGGTGGGAAGGGTGGGCTTCCATCTTGGGTGTGAATGGAGACAACAGTAAAGAGGACCCAGGCTGAGGGTAGAAGGGTCTTAGGCCAGAGCTTCTTCAAATTTACTGTGCTTATGAATGACCAGGGATCTCTTGTCATGCAGTTTCTGATTCAGAGGGTCTGAGGCCAAGTCTGAAATTCTGCGTTTCCAAGGAACTTTCAGGTAACACAGATGGTGCTCACTTGGACTTGCAGATGATTGGTTTTGATACCTGCCCCCCAACACTTACCCTGGGTCTTTTCCAATGGAAGGCAGGGGTGGGGCTTCCCCCCACCCCCAGTTTGCCAGGATGGGCTGCCTTTTGGTGGAGAATTAAATTCTGTTTTTCCTGTTCCTTGGTTTTTGTCCCCTTTAGCTCAGATCCTACCCCTGCTTTATAAACTGAAAGAGGATCTTTCGCACATGAAAGAGAACTCCGGAGAGAGAACGGAGTCAAGGGTGGAATGCCTGGGGAAGGGGATGTTCCCGACACTTCTCAACTTCCATCACCCCCTGGCAGGATGTTTACATTTGGGTTTGAGAGGTATCTTTTTCCATTTCAATCATAACCAGGAAGCAGAAAGGAGAAGAGGTTGAGTTTATTGCAGGGCAGTTTGCCTTGGGTCCACCCTTAAGCTCCCATTCCCCATCTGAAATTATGATGAGACAGATTGGGGTAGGGCAGATCTCAGACCAGGTTTTAAAGGGATATGAGGGCCCTGTGCCTTTAAGCCCTCCCTTCTCCCTCCAACCCCCCCCCCACCTTCCCCACCCCAACCCTCCCCAGGTTTCTGGAGGAGCAGAGAGTTGCGTCTTCTCCCTGCCCTGCCGAGCTGCTCACTGGCTGCTCTGGAGGCTGTGCTTTGCGGTCTCCATGGAAACCATTAGTTGCTAAGCAACTGGAGCATCATCTGTGCTGAGCTCTCGCATCTAATTATCCCATCACAGCGGCCGAGAAGGGTTTGGGGAGCTGAGAGGAGGGGGAGGCCAAGCGCAGGAGCAAGAGGATAACTCTTTTAGCAGAGCAGATTCATTGACAATGCTGAAGTCATTTAAAGCCACAGCACCCTGTTCCTCTGGAGGATTCCCCAATGGCTTGAAGTAAGGGAATCAGGACCACACGTCTGGAGTCTCTCTCCTGGACCCCGTATTTCTAGGTGTCTCCCTTGATTCTTGATTCTGAACTCTCTCAAGTTCCCTCCTTTGCCTTCTTCTTCCAAATTTCCAGTTCAAGTCAACAGACATTTATTGAGTACCAAATATGTCACTGGAACTGTACTAGGACCAGAAATATAAAGGTAAGATGAGTTTCTGCCCTCAAAGAACTTAAGGTATTCCTGATTTCTTTGTTTTGGTCAGACTATATTACCTCTTAAAACAGACCTCCTCTTTCTGGACCTTCTGGACTATGGGGATGTGGCTCAGTGGTTAAGCACCCCTGGGTTCAATCCCCAGTACCAAAAAGCAGACAAACAKGCACCTAAGGTCTGTCTAACAGGTTCTCTGTCCACAATGCCACTCCTCTGCCTCTTAGAAAAACACATCCATAGGCATACAAGCCTCTGATGGCAACTGTTGTCCTGATGAGGAATAATGCTATATGACTTTTTAGGCAAGTCACTTTGAGCCTCATTCTTTTCATCTCAAAAATGGAAATCCTCTAGCCAGGTGTGGTGGCACACACCCAAAATCCCAGTGGCTAGGGAGGCTGAGACAGGAGGATTGCAAGTTCAAAGCCAGCCTCAGCAATGTAGAGGCACTAAGCAACTCAGGGAGACCCTGTCCCTAAATAAAATATGAAATAGGGCTGGGGAATGTGGCTCAGTGGTCGAGTGCCCCAGAGTTCAATCTCCAGTAGCAAAAAAAAAAAGGGGGGGGGGAGACTGATTCCTCCCTTACTCAGGAGATCTAGAGAGATAAAATATGTTTTAAAATAAAGGTGCAGAAGGAGTTCTGGAGATCATTGTCAAGAACTGTAGGAGTACCCAGGGGAGGACTGAGGGCTTGGGCCTGGAGGTCAGATGTCATACTCACCACATGTTGCTCAGTTGGGAAGTGGTAGGTCCTCTCTTCTTGACATCCAAGGTTAGAAAAGGCTGTGACAATAAGAAATCCTCCTCTTCAGGGATGGATGTGATGGTACATGTCTGCAATTCCAGCAGCTTGGTAGGTTGAGGCAGGAAGATTGAAAGTTCAAGCTCAAGATGGACAACTTAGTGAGATCCTGCCTCAAAATAAAGATAAAAAGACTGGGGCTGGGGCTGTGGTTCAGTGGTAGAGCACTTGCCTTGCATGTGTGAGGCACTGGGTTCGATTCTCAGCACCACATATAAATTAAAAAATAAAAGTTCATTGACAACTAAAGAAAAAAATTAAAAATAAAAGGACTGGGGATGTAACTTAGTGCCCTAACATAGGCTTCATATCCTATGCCACAAAAACAAACAAAAACCAAACACACAAAAACAAACTCCTCATCATTCAGGGTTGGAAGGACCTGGATGCTCCGTTGTTTTTTTTTTTTTTTTTTTCCTAATGTAGCCTGTGATTTAGTCATGTACCCCAAACCTTCCAGCTTTGTGATTTGGGCCAAGTTATCCACCTTAATGCTCTGATCTGTAGTTTCCTCTTCTGTATAAAGGGTATAAAATCTGTCTCATGGGAATATTGTGACTATCACTCAAACTAATTTATTTAAAAGTGTTTAGCACAGTCTCTGGTTCAATAAATACTAATTTAAGTAATTCATCTTATCCTCTCCTTTTTATYAACCCTTATTGCAGATAAAGACTAGAGGCACAGAGGCAATAAATGACTTTCCCAAGGTCACAGAGCAAATAGGAATGAGGTGGGATAAAACTCAGAATTCACTTTTCCAGCCTTGTCATTGATGCAAAAAGAAATGTTTGGGGTGGGGAAACTAGTTTGAGGGGAAAATGGCTGAGATATGGGCATTATACAGCAAGGTGTTAGCTTTTCATGGTATAGCCAAAACACCTGAGGGGAAAAACAAGAGGAAAGATTTATTTTGGCTCATAGTTTCAAGAGGCACCATGAACCATGGTGAACCTCTGTTCACCTATGGCATCTGGGGAGCAGAGAGAGAGAGAGCAGCAAGAGAGGAAGCGGCTGGGGACAAAATAAACCTTTCCAGGGAACACCCCCAGCGTCCTGTCATCTCAGTGATCTCAGCACCTAGCAAGGTACCATAAAGGAACTGTTCAATGAGTAGACAAGTGGTTCCTATGTGCCTGGTACCCTGTGGGATACTTGGTGTTATGGTTTGCATCTGCAATGTCCCCCAAAGGCCACGTATTGAAGGCTCAGTCCCTGAGGCAGCTATGTTCAGAGGTAGAACTTTGGGGAATCAGCTGGATCATGTGGGCTCTGACCATCTGTGGATTAATCATCCTGACTGAATAGACTATGGGGAGGTGGTAGAACCTGTAGGAGATGGTGCCTACTGGAGAAAGGGGGTCGCTGGGACTGAGCCTTCAATACATGGCCTTTGGGGGACATTGCAGATGCAAACCATAACACCAAGTATCCCACAGGGTACCAGGCACATAGGAACCACTTGTATACTYRTTGAACAGTTCCTTTATGGTAGGTACCTTGCTAGGTGCTGAGATCACTGAGATGACAGGACGCAATTTCTGCTCCMAATTTTCTGAGTTTTGAAGAGTGAATCAGAGTCAGTGGTACTCAAGTAAGTGGAAGAAGGTAAACTAAAGAGAGGGAGCAGCATATGAAAAGGCTCAGAGATATATGTTATCCTCACACCTTCTGGGAACTGTAAATCAAGTATCTTAGCAAGGAAGAAATATCCAAAGATGGGTCTGGTGAGAGCTAGAGCCATTCACTGGGCCATCAGGGGCTTCATATCCTTTGCCAAGGAGCTTGGTTTTGA